CTAAACCCTATAATAGATAGGGAGATCTAGATATATCTACTAGAAGGGATTAAGTATCTAGATATAGGAAAGAAAGATCCTAAGAAGTTTCTAATCCGTATTAGAAAGGGACTCTATAGGCTAAAGYAGGCTRCATCTCTATAGTATTATAATGCAGTYRYAATACTTCGGGATATAGGTCTTAAAAGGACTTACTTAGATRCATRCCTRTTTATAGGAYATAGAGCCCTTRTTCTTATRYATATTAATAACTTTTAGATCCTTAGTTAGACTTAGAGCAATATCGACTAGGTAATTAAGGGACTAAAGAAAAAGTATAGTATTAAGCTTRTTAATACTAACCTTTTCYTAGGATTGCATATCTAGCAATTAGAAACAACTAYTATAGTATTATAGCAGYATTATAGCCGTAAGAAGCTAGAGGGCTATAGGCTATTARATATTAAGCTAGTAAAGTTCCTACTAGAAAGATTACTATCCCTATCTAAGAGGAGCTRTATAAAGGAATAATATAATCTCTTTAATAAGATTATTAGGGAGCTTTAGCATCTCTCTAATTATACCCGGCCTAATATTACCTATGCTATTAACTATCTTRCTAGATTCCTTTAGAACCTATCTAATAAGCAYATTRCTGCTATAAGGCATATYTAGAAGTTTGYCTYRAGYATAATTGYAAAAGGCATTRTCWTTAAAAGGACTAAGAGCCTTAGCATTAAGGCATACTTAGACTTAGACTATRYAGGAGATCTAATAATAAGGAGATCTACCTCTAGGTCTCTTATTAAGCTATATAKTAGGCTAGTTATCTAGAGGTCCTAGTTRYAAAAGGATRTTRTCCTATCGAGCACTAAAGCTAAATACCTAGCCTTAACTAAAACAACTAGGGAGATTAGCTAGCTTAGGGAGCTTCTTAATAAGATTAGCTTAATTACCTAGCAGAAAGTTAAGACTGTCCTTATTAGAGTTAATAACTAGTTAGCTATTAGCCTAGTAGAGAATTACTTAAACTCTAGAAGGTTACGACATATTTTAGTAAGAAATTACTATTATAGGGAATAATATAATCTTAGAAACATTAAAGTAGAATACATAAACACTTCTAAGTAGCTAGCTAATGCACTAATAAAGCTAAAGTCCCCTAATATAATTATGTAGTCCCTAGTAGACCTGCAAAACTTTTCCTTTATAATAACTACAGTTATTACTACCCCATTTTATTTGTCGAAGCAAAAACACTATTAGGAACTATATTAGCTATCTAAACTTGTAGAAAGACCACTAGAAATTTACTAACTAGCTACTCTTAGGCTTCCTATTACCTCCTAGAGCTTATAGCTCTTAATCCTAACTACTCTTAGGTTATCTTAGTGTTATTATTATTAGGAGCATCCTTATCCCGACGGGCACGAATCTTACTAGGGTTAAATGCCGTACTAGCATCCTACATCTAGGTGAAGTTCTCTAGGATATTCTATAGTGTAGCCCTTATATAGGCTCTCTACTAATCTCGGTTAGCAGCTAATAGGTAGTTAAAGTTAACTATAGCTATTCTATAACGACTACTAGCGCCTAGAGCAGGAAGAGATCTTAAGAAGTTAATCGGGTAGCGATTATTATAAGGGTATACATTTCTAGCAGGGCTTCTAAGAGTAGTAGGCGACTAGAAGAGCAATACCTAAAAGAGAGGTCTGCTATTACTATTATATATTAGCAGGAGAGAACGGTTGCGGTAGGCAATAGCTAGAGGATTATTAGGAGCCTTAGATATCTTAGCCTTATCTAGATTCTAAGTAACACGAGCATTAAACTTAGCGCGGTTGCGAGTGTTTCTTAGAGTAGGCTTATAAGTGCTAAAGTTGTAGTGCTCGTAATAATTGTTAATAGCACACTCTAGGCAAGCTCCCTTAAATAGGCCCTTAATAGTAATGTAGCTACTAAAGACAGTGTTGCTACGGCTAGTATAGGAGTTATATATAATACTATTAATCTTAGTACTACGAACTAAAGAAGCAGCAATAGTTAGGTAGTAATTATTGCTACTACTAATATTAACTATAGGCTCCTTAGATCCGGAGCTAAGGGTGCTAGGAGTAGCTAAACGAGGCTAAGTAATAACCTTAAACTTAGGCTTTCTACTAGTAAGCTTGTCTATCTACTAGGTAGCTAGAGGATTCTTTAAGATGTCCTTAAAAATAGCTACTAAGCTAAGACCACTACTACGGCCCTCCTTATAGGCTCTATTAAGGCTCTTAATAAAGTAACGGTTAAAATACGACAGAGGAACGACAACCCTGCCCTTTATATCTAGAGGATACTTACGGGTAGTAAGATCTTTTAGAATGTTCTAAACCTTCTCTAGTAGCTTCTCTCTCTAGGAAGTGCTAGCAGCCTAGTAACTAGTGCGGCTAGGATTCTTCTTTAGTAGACTACTACTACTACTACTACTACTACTACTACCTATGCTAGTAGCTATATAACTACCTCTACGGTTAATTACTATAAATATAATAAATGTCTTAATAGATGCTTAATTAAGTGTCTTAATAGATAATTAATTAAGTGTTTAGATATAATGTAAGGCGGATTAATATAAAGGATGTTGTAGTATAGATAATAGTTAAGTTTAAAAGAAGGAGGCCTCTTATAGAAGCGTTAGAAAGAACTTAGGCACATGTATTAAGTTATAGGGACCTAAAGCACACGTATAACGTATGCATTAAGCATATGCAGTAGTATCTAGCTGCTAAAGCCGATAATAGCTTCTAATCCTTTATATAGATACACATAATATTACTAGAAGGGGGAGTGTTGTAATTCTAGCACGTGATCTACAGATAACTAAGGATTAGACGATATAGCCGCATCTCAGATGCAGAGTTTTCACCTATATGCCAATTAGTGTTATCTGCGTACTTCGCCTCAATTCAGTAACAGCTTTACAACAGACTTCGATTGGCCGAATCCTACTAGGGCTTTACCGTGTCCCCGGTAGCAAGAGGGTTGGGCCAGCTCCTTCCACTGCACCCCCCTCAATCCTCCTCTCCTAATCTTCCCTCGAATTCCAAACAAGATATCGGACCCCGAGGAGCAGTATACGATCAATCCACACAAGCAATCCATCAAACGGCCCGCGCCACGTTTGCCCAGTGACGATCTCCTCACCTAAACAGGCCAATCACACACATACCCTCGCCATTAGCGATCGCACTGTGCATGGAAGGTCGGAATCCGCAGCCAACAATCCTCCACGGCCAAGATAGCAAGCCATGTGTGCATTAGGGCATCGCACCTTGCTAAGTTAGACCCCACTTCCCACGAGCAGATCACGCAAAGGAAGCCTCGTGTCAGGCCGCCCGTGCCACGTTGCACCCTCGACAATCTTCATCAAGATAGGTTTGATGAGTGATCTGCAGTTTGATTTGACAGTAGCGTTGCCACGTGCAAGCTTATCCTTATCCTCTCTGCCAGTCGCCGTGGAATCACCCACCAACCCTCTCAGGAGGATCAAAAACAGCACCGGTATTATGCATTAGGGCAACATCTCAGCCCTTTGACCTGACTAATTTCTCGCAGCTTGCCTTACCGTTTCGTTAAATGATATCGGTTCCCGAGCGTCTCCTGCGCCTGTGGAAGCCATCCTGTCGCATGCGAGGAAATTATGCAGGTTCATACCGCGACTATTGGATGTGTACGCATGCTGCACTATCCTTCCTTCTCGTACCCTCAGCCTCGCTATCGGATAAGCATGCATCCCAACGCCCTGGCTGAACACGCACTCATGCCCCATTTTTCAAGTCGTGCAGCCTCAAGATTATGCCCGTCGTCTCATCGAGACATAAGTGTCAATGTTCGGCATGATTTGACCTCCAATTGGCCAGTCAACAGGTTTGCCCAAACGCTCTGGGGTGAACCGCATTTCGTAATCCACCAGAAACTTTGCAAAGACAATCTTGGCCGTCTCCGTGGCTAGAAATCTACCGGGGCAGGTCTGAGTTCCGTAGCCGAATCTATACGGGGGTCAGGTCTGTTTACACAGTGTAGGTGGAGGCGTAGGACTTACGGCAAGTAGGTCCGGCTTTGTGTCACGGATCTGACGGCAGATATATTGTCGTCGGCGTTGAAGAAGCGATATCCGTCAAACTCTAGTGGATTCTCATAGAACTCGGGATCGCGTTGAATAGCGAGCGTTGGGAAGCCGATGAGAGTCCCGGCTTTAACGACCTCGCCATTGGATAATGGAATGTCCACATCGACCTTTCGTTGCAGAGTGACTGGAACATGTTAGTGAAGGGTTCCGGCGATAGGAAAGGCAAAGAGGCTTACAAGCTGTTGGTGGACTCAATCTCAGAGTCTCCCTCAAGAAGCTGTCCAACTTGGGCATCTTCGCGCAAGCTTCTTTAGTCCATCCACCATGTTCATTCACAGCGGTCGTAATCTCCTCCCGCAGTGGCTCGAGATACTTGGGATGTCCGAGGACGGAAAGAATCAACTGACACACCACGACGGAGAAGAGTCCCGCAGCTGCGAATGTCAAGAACAATTCTTGGTTAACAATCCGAGCATACGACTGCTCAGTATCRTCCTTTGCGCTTTTCAGTAGACCGTCTAACATGGCGAAGTTCTCGCTCGAAAAGTCTCCTGCTTGGCGCCTTCTCAGTTCAGGATAGACTTTCTTTTGAACCTCACGCTGGTGGTACCGGATGAGACGCCCGCCAGACGAGAGTCGCCAGAAGATGGTTCGAAGGAAGTCTGGCATGGCGAACAGCTTTGCGTTCCAGTTGGTTACTTCTTCGGTGTATCCTCGTGCATGGTAGATGTATTCTGCGTCTGCTGCTAGCTCGGGCCCAACCATTACTGCAGCTGTCACCCGGTGGATGATGTCCAGGGTGGCATCCCATAACATGACGGTCCTCCAACCTGGAGTATCCAATATCAGCAAGTACTAGGAATCGGACAGATCCATCCACAAACCTCGGAGGTTACCCTTGGGAGCAACTCTCTCGTCAATAGCAATATCAGTCTGTGCCGCAATGTAGTTGGTCATTGTCGCTATCATCCATGTTAGGATCTGAGCACGAAGTTCCCACACGAAATAGGCTTACGAAGACTGAAGTTGAGCTGTGACTTGACGGCTTTGACATAGTCCCTCTGACAGACCATGTCTCCGACATGAAGATTCCACATGAAATGCTGTGGAACAGTCAGCACGCTGAAAGCAGATTGCTCGAAAGAGAGCAAGTACCTCGTCAACGACCTTCAGAAACGAAAGCTTCTGTAGCGGCTGATTCTTCACATCGTCTACCAAACTCGGAGGCAGGATGTGAATCAGTTCATCATTGATCCAAGTCGCCCAAATCTTGTCCTGCTTGGTGAACTGTTCCATGAGGTTAAACATGAACGATCAAGGGAAGCGATACACGATACACTCACATTGTCGTAGCCTCGAAACACGATGTTATTGGGATCGAGATTGAACCTAGTGAGTCCAGTTCGACGCAGCCACCATCCGCAGTCGCCGATAATGGTATGCTTGTTGCCTTTTCGCTCGAGAAAGTCGTAGAGCGGTCCTAGACCGAGGATAAACAGGGCGACAACGCCCAAGATGATCGAGAGAGGTCCACGGGGAAGGCTGTGAAAAAATGGAGAGGATCCATCTTTGGATTCAATGAAGATTGAAAGTCGTGACAGGGCGGCCGGCGTCGAAGCATTTTGTTCTCGCCAAAGAGCGTCCATGGTTGACTGGATACAAGAATATCCAAACGAATTGATCGATGAAACCTGAAATGAGGAAGTGAAGGTATATTGGAGAAATGAGACCCTTGGAGATACGCTAGGCGTCAATTCTTGCTTCGCGGCTGGGAACAGCTCAGTCGGGTACCGACCACAATCTGCTTCCATCAGCTCAACCCGAACATCTCACATACTTGAACCTATCCCAAGCTATTGTTGATTGTTGACAAACTCATCTTGAACCCACAGTGTTTGCTCATCATCGAAACAATGGTCTCTTTACCACAATACGAAACGGAAATGCTCCACATCGAGCCTTGGGCCGATAAGAAAGAGGCTCCATACTACCGTAATGATCCAGATCCGGGCTGGGAGGGCCAGAACTACAAGTGGCTACCGTATAATGTCCAGGTGTCAAACTGTCGCGATGCGAAAGAGTCTTTTACCCTGGACGATCATGCTTTCACTTTCGTGGACGACGAAGAGGGCAGTCGCCCGGAATTGCTGCAGTCAGTTCGTGACATTGACACGGAGACCATCGAACGCGACTATTATGCCTCGGTCGAGGAGGTCGTCAAGCGCGCGACTGGCGCAGAGAAAGTTGTGATTTTCAATCACTCCATTCGCAAGCGTGATCCAGACGAAGGGTTCTTCGGCCGCCCAGGAAAACAACAGCCTGGGAGAACCGTGAGTGTAATTGTGCCGGAAATAATCAGGCCATAATACTGATGCAAACTCCAGGTTCATTGCGATCAGTATGCGTGCTGATCTCACCGCATCGACTTTGGATACTGATATTTCGAATAGAACTCCGAAAGGTGCTTTACGCAGAGCCCGGCAATATGGCGGGGAGAACGTTGAAGAGCTCCTGAAAGGGCGCTTCCGTATTATCAAGTAAGGACAGTCCTTGATTGTAACCCGAGAGCGTCTGGAGTTAACATCAAGCCAGTGTGTGGCGTCCCATCAACGCCCCGGTAGATGACTGGCCACTAGCCACCATGGATGGAAGCTCTTTGGAGGATGAGAACCTTCACGCCACCGATCTCTGGAAGCGCCAGTGGGAGGAGATGGGCTCCACATATAATATAAGCCACAACAAGAACCAGAAGTGGTACTACCTAGGTGGGCAGCGACCAGATGAGGCACTGCTGATCAAGATCTACGACAATAAATCTGATGTGGCGGCTAAATGTAAGTTCTGATGGCTTCGTCGGTGGATCACTCGAACTGATAGTCCACGCGCAGTGTGCCCGCATTGTGCTTTCGAGCACCCGGAAACAAAGCCCGACGCACCACGGAGGGAGAGTATCGAGGTACGCTGCCTGGTGTTTGGTGGCAAGTAAGCGTGACGATGCATGAATGCATAGAGGTTGCCGTATCTTCGTAGTGCCGCAGTAGAAGGAAGACTCAATAACGTTCGCTTCATGAAATCGCGGAAAACACCATTTTCTTGCATCGGGTTTCATTCTTGATGGCCAAAGATGCGCTTTCTCTATGGTCTTGGGAAAGTACCTTCACTGCCATGGCTCCAGCGACCGAATGCTCAAGAAGAGTCTGGAGTTTTGAAAGCCTCCGATGTAAAGAGATGCTTCACGTTGCGAACGTGTCAAAGAAGCTGAAGTAGCCGGATGGCGTCGGTTGGAGAAAAGACAGAGGCGAAGAAGGTGTACCAAAAGCACGGAGTCGGATTCACCTATAACGTTAAAAAGTCGTATCATGTTGTCTCGCCCCGCCACCGCTGCTTCTACAACATCGCCTTCGTGCTCCGCCCGCAAGTTCGGATGAGGGGCCCTCACTGGCCTTGTGACAAGCCAGAATGCAAGCCTATTGGGGTTCGTCAAGAACTGCACCTCGGATCCGTGAAGAATGTCCTTCTGTCCGCTGGGAAACTTCTTCTCTTGTTTCTTGCAAGCTATAGTGCGACGGATTGCGGGACCCGCGGCAGTTTGTAGAAGCCCGAGAGACAGTCTGATGTCCAATCGGCGGGCCTGTCGCATTTCATTGTTGCGTGAGGTGAAGGAAGCGGCATGAACTCGCCGATGGCGCTTTCCTTTTCGATAACGTCGAGCGGAACGTCACGTGCTGAGGCCGCCCTCCGAGATGACGTCACTTTTCAGTTCCCCTGTCTTGCTGAAGCTGTCTCGCTGAGCGGCTATACGGTAGCAGTGAGAACTTGCGAGTGGACAGTGCCGTAGTGGATGTCCTACAACCCCAACTGAGGAGATGGTGCCGCAGACGACAGACGACGACCGCTCGGATGCACGACTTAATTGCAGGTTGATGAGCGCTCTAGGCCATTCACTTGGAATTTTGAGGTAGCTGCCATACTACCACCTGGGGCGGGTCAAACAAGGTGTCTACTGGCGAGAAAATGGCCACACTAGGCCCATGGAATGACCACTCTGCATTAAAGGCCATGGTTGTAATTTGCTTCATCTACCTCCCTACGGACATCAGACATCACTGGCGTACAATGCACCGCCCAGACACGCCTCTACCTACTCCTACGCTTTGGCGACTACGTCTTCTGCCCCACTGTCGTGCTTCTCCTCGACCAGCTCCTCCTCACTTGGCTTGACCTTCTGATAAGCAGGTCCTGCGGTCTCGGCCGTCCCAGCATCCAATTGCATTTGCACGCCACCGGCGACGAAAGCACCCATAGCGATTGCAAAAGTACCAATCTTGAAGGGATCAGCACAATCCCCGGCCGCGAAGCAACCCGGAACAGTAGTCTCGAAGAATGGTGGACGGGTGTTGTAAAATCCTTGCTCATTGGTCTCAACCCCCAGCTGTGCGGCGAAGCGGCCGTTGTTGGATGGGAGTGGACGGTGGATGAGGAACCCTTCCTCCTTCACTGTGCCGTCTTCGAGGGTAATGGCAAGCTGCGACTGTTGACCGAGTCGGCGGAAGCTTGCGACACTTCGCGACTCAATGTGGAAGCCGAGTGGACCTAGCTCCCTCGCACACTCTGCTGCGAGCGCGTCATTTCCATGCGTGTAGACGGTGACGGGTCCATCGGTGTAGCGACGACACTGCAGCGAGAGGTGGCGGGCGGCTTTGAGGTTGTCATCGCCACCGGCAGCGAGCACGCCTGCAGAGCCACATCCACGCTCTTCGTAACCGCGGTGAACGAGGCAGTGGAAGATGCTCTTGGTCCAGCAGTCGTCGTAGCCCGGAATGTCCATGGGAACATCTTGGATCCCCATTGCCAGAATCAGCTTCTTGCCATGCCAAAGACGGCCGTCGGCATCCGTGGCTGTGAAAGCATACTCGGAATCCTCATTGCGAGCAACATGGTCAATCTTCACGCCGTTGGCGAATTGGCATGTGCTGTACTTGGCAAGGATGTTTTGTCGAGCGGCGGCACGATAATCTTCCGGATCCTTGCCATCAAAACCTGGAATTGTGTGGAGCCAGTTCGCCTTGCGATTACGGTAGGTATGCGAATCGAACACCACCGCCGTGTGTAGGGTTCGCACAAGACTGAGAGCGGCGCTCAGGCCGCCAAGTCCGCCTCCTAGGATGAGAACATCAAATTTGTCGGACATTTTGGCGTGTTGTTTGTGTGAGTTTGCTTCTTTGATGCTACGATGGAATTGCGATTTCCTTTCTCTCCTTATCCAGTGATGTGCTATGGTCGGTTCTCGAGCCCTCTCGGCTTTCAACTCTCGGCTCTCGATGCACTATACTCAAATAAGCCATTCGTTCTGCGCTCAGTAGACGTTTGGCATCGAGAAAACTTGCAATCTTCGAACCATTCGTATTCACCATGGCTACAGTTACTTCCACGATGCAGTTCATGGCTCCCATGGATGGGGAGCCATACTACCGCTCTCAACCCGATGCCGGCTTCGATTCATGCACCTTCAAGTACGAGCCGCACGAAGTACAGGTACACGACGCACGCCCAGAGAAGAACCGTTTCGACCTCGATACACATGGATTCGCCTACGCTGATGACGCCGAGGGAGCGGAATTTGTTGATCAGCTCCGTCAGAACCAGGAGGGCGCCAAGGAGCGATATTATCAGCATCTTGAGGATTTCATCAAGAAGAAGACTGGCGCTACACGTGTTGTCATATTCGATCACACTATGCGTCGCCGGGATCCGGCGCTGGCTGGCAAGAATCCCGATGGCCGCGAGCAGCCTGCTTCCTATGTTCATGTAGATCAGTAAGCCAAGTCACGAAGAGGAATACCCAGATCTAGTTCGAGGCTAATCGCTTCACAGAGGTCCTATCGGCGCAAATCGCCGTGTGCACCAACACCTCGGATATGAAGCCGACAAGATTCTCAAGAGCCGAGTGCAGATCATCAAGTGAGTTGTGTCGACAGAGCAATCATCGACGAGATTGCTGATCCTGCCCCAACCAGCGTCTGGCGTCCACTCAACGGTCCTGTGCAAGATTGGCCTCTGGCCACAATGGACTTTACCAGTTTGAAATCCAACAATTACCACCCTACGAATCTTTACCGTAACCGTTTCGAGATTCGTGGTCAGTCCTGTAACATCTCCCACGATCCCTCCCAGCGATGGTACTATCTTGATTCCCAACGTAACGATGAAATCACCTTCATCAAGATCTGGGACAACAAGGTTGCTGTTACTGGAAAGAGTACGTTCCATTCTGCCTGTCCCGGGACCCGAGCTAATGTTTGGAATTTGCAGCTTGTGCACACTGCGCTTTCGCGCATCCCGAGACACCGGAGGATGCGGTGTTACGTGAGAGTATGGAGGTGCGATGCATTGTCTGCTATGAAGACCAAGATTTGAATCCGAGTCAGTGGTGGGTCTAATTTTGCAGCGAGGCGAGCTCTGAATTATTCAACATCTTCTCGGTCTCCGACCGCGATTTCATATATCAAGATCAAGCCAGCAGTACAATACATTTGGATACTTCACACATCATCTATCACTCAACAACACAGTCAAACATGGTATCAACACCTCAAATCGTCGTCGGTGACATACAAGGCGACCTTCACGGAAAGACTATCCTCTATGTCATCAAAGGTCAGTATAATCAATCAATCCAAATTGGCAGAAAAATATCCCACTAACACTCCCATCTCTAGCCGATCAAACTTCCTACATAAACTACATGAAACCCCTCATCTTCGCCCTGGAACTAGACTGCCCACACATACTCTCCGTCATCGATACCCGAGACGAATGGTTCTACGCCGTCCACCCAGAACGAATGGTCCCATGTCTAAAAGACCACGACCCAGAAACCGGGGAAGATTTCGTCGTGTTTGAAAGTACTGCGTGTCTTCAATACCTCGCCACGAAGTATGATGTAGCGGGGGATTGGACTGGTCGGAATGCATGGGAGAAAGCGCAAGTTTTGAGTTGGACGGCTTATCAAACTGCTGGTCTGGGGTAAGGCATTGTTCCCATCCGATTACATATCGTATCGTGGAGCATTCAATGTTGATGGATTTTGCACTTTGTAGCGCCACGGCCAAATATTGGCTCTATTTCCTCCGCGGCTATCCCACCCGGCAGAATCCAGAACCCATGCCAAAGACTTGTGCGAAGTAAGTCACCCTCCCCCCAAGCGAAATGGCTAGCAGGACTCTTTAATAACGACACTCATGTAGATTACACGCCAATACTCTCCGCGCCTGGGGTCTTCTCAACAAACGTCTCTCTCTCCCAGGACAAGAATATATTGCTTTACCGGATAGACCTTCGATTGCGGATATTTCTTATTTGCCGTTTGCTATGCCTTGGATGTTTGGGTTTTTTGGCGTGGAGATTGAGAGGTGGCCTGCTATTGAGCGGTGGAGTCGGAAGATGTTGGGTAGAGAGGCTGTTGGGAGGGTTTTGGAGTATGCTCCTGGGATTGGACATGGTGATTCTTGAGGAGGTGATTTAGGATGGTGGTGTTGGGATGTGTATAGTGCTGTTGGGTTCGTTTGTGATGGATAAAGCGTTGGTAGTGGGGGAATGTTTTGTCTTTGATGCGTACAAGGTAGACTTTGAGGGAGGGAGGGAGTATAGCAATCGATTATACACCTACTACACGTACTCTGACTGTATTCCACGGCCTAGACGTCCACTTTTGGTGCTCCGCTTAATGACTCAAAGGAGAAACCCCAAGTAGAAAATCTTACAAAGTCCATTCACTGGCCTGGACTACTTTCGAATAAAAGAACGACTAGTACAGTTGAAAGAGGCCGCAAACTCGACATTGAAAACCGATTGGTTCGTTGTCCTTGACGAACGTTCTGTAGCAACCCATTCAACGTCGTTGTCAATTCTCAGTCAAATGGCGACGATGCATCACGTTCGATCACTGTGGGATGATTATCCTACATCGTCTCGATATTTGGCGGCGACAAGTATTGCTCACATTCCAATGAATGAATTGAAGGATATTGGACGAGAAGCCGAAGAAGTCTCGAGGCATCTTGCGGAGTGGAAGTGAATAATTGATGACGGCAACCTCTCGGTCACCGAGACCGAACGTGAAATCCTTTACGGCCCGATGACTTTTAATCATCTCGACACCAGAAAAAAAATCCAAGATGGCATAATAAACAATCAGCAGAAAAAAAAAAATGCGAGACCTCCACTACTTCGAGCATTCACCATCTCTAGACGCAACAATCCAATCACAGCAAACATCTCCATTACTGCCAAAAACCGATCCGGAGACATCCCAAAATGAGCCTCCATCATCATCATCATCATCATCATCAAAATTGCCAGAAGGCTACCTAGCTCTCCCAACCTCTTTCCTAGCTTCCTTCGCAATAGCAGTCACCGCAGCCTCAACAGTATACGCCTACGCACACATTGTGTGTGAAGATGCCACGCACTGCTCAGACTCGGAAAAAGCAGCCTACACATCCGCAGTAGCTTTGGCAACAACTCTAGCCAATCTCTTCTCTCTCACCGCCATGGGGATATATGAGAGACTTCCAACTCGCGGAGCCTTGACTCTCTGGATGATCCTGCGGGGAGGGAGTGTGGTGGTTCTTACAGCGGGTGTGTTTCGTCGAAGTATACCCCTGGCTCTCGCGGCTCGCGTTCTGGAAGGTCTCGCTACGGATAATGTTCTGCATTTGACCCTTAATGCTCTTTATGCTCGTTCCAAGGACCAGCATAATGTTGGGAGACTGATGTCTGTTTCCTTGGCTTTGTACATGGGCGGAATGGCCCTGAGTCCGGCTCTGGCGGCGCTTCTGACAGATTTCCGGATTTCCTTTGGGATTGCGATTGGGATTTTCGCTTTGACTATAATATACCTCGCCATTGTCGGTCCATTGGAAAACGGCAAGAGAAAAGAACCAGCGTCATCGGAGGATGGCTCTCCTCCTGCTCCAACCAGAAGGCTGAAAGAATTAACCAAACCAATCGTGAATCTCGTCAGCGACAGAACACTGCTGATGTACGGAACATCAATGCTCCTCTACAACGCAGCAGTATCATACATGTTCCCCGCATTAATGATCCACGCAACCTTACAATTCGGCTTCTCCTCAGCAACCAACGGTCTCTTGATTTCCGTAGCGGCAGGCTCATCATCCATGTATCTATTACTCTCAGCGGCAATCTCTACTCCAGCTCGGAATGCCCCCAGTGCCGTGGCGTCGCTCCTCGTGCTGATGGCGGCCATGTGTGGACTTGCTGCCGTTCCTGTCGGATGGGCGCTGTTTCCTGGAGTGGCTGTCGCGGCTTTTGGATTGGCGACGCCGTCGTTTATCAAGGCGCATATGATACAGCGTCGGCCTCGGCATTCGGCCGCTGTGGCGGCGATTGCCGTGGCGGAGGGTTTGGGTAGTTTGCTTGCGGCGCCGATTTTGGGGGGTTGGCAGGTTGTGTATCCTGGAGGGAGTGTTTTGTTTGTTTCTGCGGGTTTGATTGCTGCGTCGACGGTTAGTTTTCTTGCGGTTTGTGCGATTGAATAGATGAGAAACGAGTGAATGGAATTTCGGTGAGTCTCTGCTCGACAAATCGATGACTGTGCTCGCAATCGGCTTGCTATGCCCATGAAAGTGATACTTCTTCTGGAGAGTCCGATACGCCTCATACTGGTATCGCCCTAAGCTTCAAATAGTCATTGCAGAAACATAATGACATATCTTGAGCCGAGAAGCTTTTCATTAATGGAATGAATGAATGTCTATACGAACAGAGACTTCACCTTATCTTCCAGCGGCTGCTCGCCCCTCATACGATGGGAGACCTGCTCGACTTCTTCAAGCACCCGCAAAATATTCGCTCCTGCAACGCCGCTCACATCCTCCACAGATACTCCCCGGCGCAGCAGCTCTTCCAGCAAGTCTGGGTACTTCCCAACATGCTCGAGTCCATCGGGCCCATTGTCGAAACCCATGCCGTCAAAGTCCGCACCGATTCCAACGTGGCGGTAGCCAATGAATTCGCCCATGTACACGATGTGATCTGCAACATCGTGAAGGGTGGCATTGGGGCTGCAGGCCACGAATCCGGGGAAGAAGTTGACCATCACAATACCTCCAGTTTGCTGGATACTGAGCAGCTCCTCATCTCCAACGTTTCGCTCGTGATTGCACAGAGCATAGGCCGCCGAATGAGTGTAGATAACTGGTGCCTGGGATGTTTCAAAGGCATCCCGTTGGGTTGCTACTGATGTGTGGGATAGATCGACCATTAAGCCAAGGCGATTCATCTCGTGCACAGCTTCTTTTCCGAGAGATGAGAGACCTCCGTGCAATGGCTTTTCCGGACTGCAGCTGTCAGCATAGGCATTGTGACAGCTATGAGTCAATGTCACGTATCGAGCTCCCATATTGTGGAAGAGTCGCAACGCCGAGGCACTATTGGCTATTTGGTGTAGACCTTCAATGCCGATGAGACTAGAAATCGCGGTTGAAGATGTGTCGCGGTGATGCTCCCAGACGTCCGCTGCAGAGGACGCCCGCCTCAAGTAGGATGGGTAACGATCCATAAGCCGATTGATAAGGTCAATCTGTTGCAAGGTCTCATGCATGGCCTCATAATACGTGTCCTGCTCTTTGGGGTGCTCGTTCTCGGCGGGGCACTCGACATATGCGCTCCAGAACTGAGCACCAAGACGACTCTTCTGCAGGCGAGGAAAGTCAACCTGGCCGATAAGAGTCGCAGTATCGCTGAAGTTCTGGCCATAGATGTGATTATAATAGAATGCTCTGATGTAAATGGGGAAGTCATTATGTCCATCTGTTGATGGTCTTGTGAGTGATGATTATCAAAAGGCTAGGACATTAAACACGGACCTATGAGGGGAGCTTTACGCAGCACTTCCTCCAAAGGCGACAATGGCTCGGATGAAAGACCTGGCTTTACCAGCAACCATCCTTGGAGGAACCACAAGACCGTGATGAGCAGACAGGTTATCGCTCCGAGTGTGGCTTTTCTTCCAGATCTCGGTGGGCTTGGCCTCTGCCTCTCGAGCAGGCTCTGTTTATCCATCGTATTGGATGCTGATTGCTCTGAAATGTGGTTTAGAAATTGCTGCCAGTCTCTTTCTGACGGGGTTACCTTTGCGGTAGTCGTATAGCAATGCCGTGGGCCATCATGGTGTAGGAGGCATCGGTGACCGTGGACAGGTCGCCATGAGGTAGCAAGACTCTGATCTCATGGACAGAGTGGCGTCCCAGATGGGCGATGTGCCCGCTAGTACTACGAGCAAGTCATGGCATGGGAGAGGAGAGGAAGGGAAGTGCTTCGGACACCGAGAGTAGACAGACGTGCATGATGTAATCACAGCGCTAATTTTGATTTAGGTGGGCCCAGTCAATATCTCTTTACATTTGATTAAGCAATTTGATGGGTCTAGCTCGCAACCTGTCTTTTGCTCATTTTGACTTCAGCGTCCATGTTTGGCCCATTCTGCACTTCAATACACATGTTTGGCGGCCGTGAAGCCGTTTTGCCCTCCCACTCCATATCATACTCATGCAAAAGCTTTGCAAAGATGAGTTTGGCGATGCGGACGGTGAAGAACCGGCCTGGACATGCATGCCGCCCGAAGCCAAAGTTCAAAAAGGTCGCGTCGACAGTCGTCGCGTTGATGTCTTTGCGATCCGCGGTGCGGAACCCGCAGAAGGACAGCGGGTCGTCGTAGTTGTCTGGATCTCGATGAATGGCGTGGATTGGGAAGGCGAAGCGTGAGCCTTTGGGCAACGTCAAGCCGTCGTGGAAGCGAAACGGCTCCTGCATCACAGCGCGTGTCACCGAGACTGTACGCGGGAATCAGTACACAGGAAGCCGACCATCTCGTCATAATTGGGGACAATACTCACCTACACCCGTCGGATACAGCCGCATCGTCTCCCGCATGAAACTTTCGAGCAGCGGCGTGCGGGACAGGAAAGCTGCGTTGAAACCCGCCGTTTCCTGTAGCGTCTTGGAAATCTCCTGTCGCAGAGGAGCAAGATATGCCGGGCTCGTCAAGATCTGGTAGACCATCTGCACGACGAGACCTCCGGGGGCGCTACTGCCAGCAAACATGAGATGCATCAATTGGTGTGCCATGCGCTCGGGCTGCGACTCGCGTGGATCATCCTTTGCAAGCTTCAACATGCCCTCAATGGCATCGTTACGCTCGCCTGGTCGACTCTGGGCATCTTCAATCTCGGGGATCAGGTGCTTGACGCATCTTTGCAAGTCCCATCTGTGTTTGATGGCAGTGAACCAGGCGACCACATCTCGCAGAGGGCCCAGCCACATGCCATTTACCAGGATCGCGCTGATGAACAAGGACCGATTGAAGCTTTGAGAGGTTTCCACAAAGTCCTTATTTCTCGCAAGGCACTCACCCAGTAGTATACGGCAAGTAATTTGGTGAGCCATTGCCGTGAACGTCGGGAAAGCCTTTACTGTCTTGCCCTGGGATCCCACGGCGAGATCCTCTGCCAGGATATGATCACACTCGGCATTCATGCTTTCCACCAAAGAAGCTAGGCCTGTTAGATGTGCAGAATGGGGGAAAGAAGTGCAGCATACGTAGCTGAGGACTCAGCCATTGCTTGACAACTTCCGGCATCAAACTGGATGCGTAGACATCGCCCGCTGAGACATGAACGTTGAAAGCTTCGCTGAAGCATTGCGCAAAGCTGAGATTATGCTCGTCCGCTTTGCGTACGTCGTTGAGGTATTTCGGTGGCATGATCAGAAAGTCTCGTCCGAAGACCTTGCTAACGAAAGGTTGCATACGCGATTTGTGGTACTGCCGGCTCATCAGCTATTGTACACAAGCCAGGTCGAAATTTAGGGCAACGTACTTGCTGGTACCCATACTCCATCCATTTGTCCATCTCAAAGCGCATTGGCACTTGTCCGGGTATGAGGCTCCACCATCTGGACTTTCCCACGCGTGGTGCGCCATATGGAGCAGATTGTATCAAGAAGAAGAATGCAATCAGGAAAGGTACAGCGTAGGGTGCTGCATGGATTACGCCATGCTGTGCAGTACCTGATGAAGAGGTCTCTTCTCCAAAAGTACTACCGTTGTATTCCATTGTTGTCAATCCTGCCAATTGGACCACAAATTGCGTGGTGGAGAGATGTTAAAAGTATAACTCTTGAGGTTGGTCGGTTCCCGAGTAGGCACAGCAACACGGCCTTCAACTTCAAGCCATCACGCGGACTTGCTCATAGTCGAGACCCTTTGCTGCAACTCACTATTCAACACGTCCACAAACATGACCGACCAAGAAGCCATTCTTCTGCGTCCAACCCGTGGTTCATCACTTCCTCACATTCTTCTCGTGATCGCTCAGCTATTCTTCCTCACGTCCTCTCCATTCCGAGGAAGACGTGAGCTGGCCATTGGTACTCTGACCTTTTTGGCCATCTGGGCTGGAATCAGTCCTTGGACGCATGATCCTGGAGCCGCCAACTTCGCAGCACTCGCATGGCCTCACTGGCTATCGACAATCGAAAAGTTCCTCAACAGCATGCCATCTCCCGAAGTAGCAGTATGGCCCGTAGATAAAGCCGCCGGCATTGCCGTGACTTATAACGCTTTCGGATGGCAAAAGCTGAAATGGGCGGTCTCCTTGATTCTCAATCTGCGAGGCATTCGCTACAACACGCAGGTCAAGAACGTTCCTCCTGCGCGCTTCACGTCTAAACAGCAACATGGAAAAGTAAAGTTTCTACTCTGGCAAGCTGTAGAGCTGGCTTATTGCATGTTCATGGGAGATTTGGTGGCACAGCTCAGCATCGCACTCTTCTTCACTCCAGCGCCTACTAATAGCATGCTGCTGAACGCATACGATGCGGATTGGCGGCTGAGTTTCCTGAAAGCTTTGGTGTTTGGATCTGGACCGTACTTCTTCATCAACATGCAATACGTTCTGGCATCCATGGTCTGCGTAGCCATTGGGGTTTCAAAGCCGGAGGATTGGCCGCCTCTGTTCGGTCGTCTCAGAACTGCCACGACTGTCCGGGCGTTTTGGGGAAAGTTTTGGCATCAAATGATCCGTCGAGTAAGTTGTTCCCATGTTTACTTTGAAAGACGTGAAAAAGCAGCTGAACATAATCTCACATTAGCCGCTCACTGGCCTCACCGATCGCATTCTAGCGATGCTCCGTATACCGCATGGCACCACTGCCTCCTCCTACGCATCACTTTGGCTCGCATTCGCCATCTCCGGTTTCATGCACGCTGCGTCTCTAACCCTTATGCCCTGTCCCGCCGACGTGGAAGAGTGGGCGCGGTGGCGCGGTCTTTTAGCCCACTTCATGTGGCAGGCAGCGGCCATAACTTTTGAGGACTTTGTCATCTATATATGGCGTCGGAAAGTTGGGTCTTCTGCTCCCCCTGCTGCTGCTCGGGTGATTGGGTATGTGTGGGTGATATGGTCTTTCTGGACCTCGTTGCCTATGGCTGCGGATGTTCTGCTGAAGTTGCGGATGGGAGCTGAGTCGCCTTTTCCCGTTACTTTTTGGGGTCCTTTTGTTCAGAAGTTCGTCCATGCTGGCGGTTGATCTGACATCACTTGGTAGAAGGGCATCTTCCATAGATGTTCTGTTTTAAAACGATGAATAGATAGAATCGTCTCCGAAATGATAGGTGAGATCTTATTAACAGAACACGATGGGAATACTGTACATCTACACACCATGTTCGAATTCAATGAGAATCCGAGAGACCGGGCACAGCGAGTGAAATACATCAATGAACAGCTTGACMTTCATAGCACCGCAGAGCGCTATAATCTGCAGAGTAGAAGAGCGATTTCCTTCTTGTAGCAAGATATCGCACTACCCCAACCCCAACCCTAACTGGCAGCATTCTACAATATGGTGGCTTATCTGTGGCTTTGGACGGAGCTCTAGATCTGACACTTCGACAATTCGAATTCGCGAGACCTTAGTTATCTATTTATCTACTATTAAGCGTACGAACAGCAGCGAATAGCTATTTATTTCCTCCTTCCTTAAGTCCTATAGCCTTAACGTCCGTAATAGCCTCGCGCGAGCCTAGCTAAATTAAGTTAATTACTATAGTAATATCGGTAATAATAGTATTACGCTTACTAACTAACTAGCGTAGCTATATAGTATATAGCCTTCCTATATCTATAACCTTCGCCTTTAGCGTWCTAATAGTAGTTCCTTACTTCTTAAAGTTACGCTCTAATCTCTTAATCTTCCGTATTATGCGCTATTTATTCTCCTTAAGCTCCGTAATTATATAAGTAGCGCTAGTAAGCTTCTCTTTAGTAATAGCGAGTTTGTCTTCGGTAGTAATAACGACCTAAGTAACGAAGGACGCTTTATAGCTAGCCTTACCGAGTACTTTATAGTAGGCGTAGGCTTCTATCTTATTAGCGAAAACTTTATACTAATTACCTAAATTACCCTCGCGATTATACCTAAAACTATTAGTTTTAGAGCGAATACCTTAACGAGTAACTACGAGTATAACGGTAGGATTCTTACTATTTATAGGGTAATAGAGTAACTATTCCCTTATTAGTCTTAATAATACGACTAGTAGCGTTATATTTGCGGAGATTAGCGCGCGTAGCAGACTTTTTCTTCTTATCGTTACTATCGGCGTCGTTAAGCTAAAGATCCTACTACGACTATATCGCGGACTAAAATTAGCTAGCTATTATAAGGCGGCGCTACGCGGAAGGTATAGCGTCGTCGGCGGAAGAAGTAAAGGAGCTAGTATTATCGCCGGAAGTAGTCGCTATTATAGTAGTAGTAGTAATAGTAATAATAGTAGAGGTAGAGGTAGTAGTAGTAATAAGGAAGTAATAGTAGGGAGCGGTAAGGTAAGAATAAGAATAAGAAAGAGTAGGGGAGCGGGATAGCGGTAGTAACCGTATATATTAAATAAGTAGCAAACGAAGTAAGATAAAGTAAGGCTAAATTATTAGATATAGCGAGTATATCTATAAGTGCTCGACGAATAGTATTTCCTATTATCTATATATTCGTATGCTCGAACACCTTATTTATAAACTCTTAGTAAGGGCCTAATCTATTAAACTTATTATTAAACTCGTTCT